AAACCTCAATACCCCATCCGGTATGAGACAACGTTTACGGTAGAGTTTCCTATGAATCCGATCCGTCCACCATCTCCCAGGATATCTAGTGAGGTTGTCACCTTATCTGTTTTCTTTTAGTCTCCGTTACCAAGTTAAACATAATCATATAAACAATAAACATGCACCCGGTAATACAATTATATCTTAAATTTCAAAATTATACAGTGGTCAAGTAAGAAAATAATACATGCATTTAAAACCATAGAATAGATAAACCAAACACCATAATGCATTTAAACTGTAAAATAAATCAAGTAGGAATCGACAGAGAATAATGTCCGGTTTGGGCTCCATTAGCAACCTTAATTAATTATGCATATCTATTAAATTTGTACAAAATACAGTATTATCATTTATTCAAACTTCAATTCCATAATAGGAAATAGGGTGAGGAGTCCTTACTTGATTTGATGCCGAAAAGCTAAATGTTTATTGCGCCTATGGGCGGTCCCTGGGTTCCCTGAAATTTTTTTCGGGAATGAAACACACTTACGGTACCTAAAAATGTCCTAAATAACTCAAAATCAGTTCCAAAGCCTACTCGGCCAATTTAAAAAATCCAGCACGGCGGCTTCACCGTGCTCAGGCGACAGCGCCGCCGTCCTCGGCGGCGATTCGCCTTAGGTTGGCTGTTTTTGGCCGAATTTAGCCAAACTTGCATAAGTTCCTGTGAGAAAACACACTTAGGGCCCTTGATGGGCCAAAAAAACATAAAAAATCGAAACTCATCGGCGGTGGGGCTCTTCGGTGCGGCAGCTCCTCTGGCTCACGTTGCGATTGGGTGTTTTGCTCTAGTCAACCTGTAGAGGAGGAAACGATGATCACAACGATGAAAAAATCACATTGAACAAGGATTGGGAAGGGCTTCATCGGAGGCAAAAATTGAAACACACCGCGGCAGCGCCGCTGAGCTTCGGCATCATTTTTCGGCCAATTGGCTGGTTCTTTTACTCCGATTTGGCCATGTGTGGGTTTGAAATCAA